GGTCAGTTTGTGTTTAATTTCCAGTGCCTGCTGGCATGACGGATCACGATTCGTTGGTTGAGACAGCCTGTGTTGCCTGCAGCGCGGGCACGGACACTTCAACCGGAGCCAAGGCTGGACCCTGCACCAACTTTAACGTTCCCGCGGGCTCGTTTGATCACGATTCCAACTCTGCCACCGCGGCGATCACTTGTCCTCCTGGAAACTATGCGCCCGCAGCCGGCACGACGTGCACCACTTGCGGCACTGAAACATGGGACCATGATTCGTCGTCTGCAACTGCCTGCACTTCTTGCACGTCCGCATGCTCTGCTGGCTCCTTTCAATCGCAGGATTGTACTCCCACGAGCAACCGCATTTGCACTTCGTGTACTGCCGTCACCTCGTGCGCCGCCTCGAGCACAACATGCACATCGAGCACGGACTCGCGCTGCTCGACTTGCGCCGCGAACTTTTACAAAGTGGCGGGTGCCTCGAGCGACACGTGCCAGGGCTGCACTGCGGCCTGCACCACAGGAACTTTTGAAACAACCCCTTGCACGACGGCAAGCAACCGAGTGTGCACGGCATGCCCAGCGATCGCCAACTGTGGAGGCACGCTTTCGTGTTCATCCAGCAGTACCTCTCGATGCACTGCGTGTGCCAGCAACTTTTACTTGATTGCTGGAACCGGATCCACACCCGATCGCTGTGCTCCTTGCTCGGGCAGCTGTGCTGTCGGTCAGTTCCAAAGCGCAGCGTGCGGCGCCGCAGCTGATCGCGTCTGCACCACATGCACGTCCGTTGCAAACTGTGTTGGACAAGTGACGTGCACGACAAGCGGCAACTCACAGTGCTCGGCGTGCGCATCCGGCTATTATCGGACGACTGTTGGCGGTGCTGATGTCTGCTCGCCATGCGCCAGCACATGTGCACTGGGCCAGTTTGAATCGGTTGCTTGCACCACGTCGACCAACCGAGTTTGCACTTCGTGCACATCGGTCTCAAACTGCGCATCTCAGCAGACCTGCTATGGTGCTGGCAACACCCGCTGCTACACTTGTGCGACGGATTTCTACTTGACTCTGCGCTCAGGAGTGTCTGATGTTTGCACTGCGTGCGCGTCTTGCGGTGTGGGCAACTTTTCGCTGTCCCCATGCAGTCCATCCGTCGATCGTGTTTGCGGAGTCTGCACTGCCATTGGCAATTGCAATGTGCCAGTTTCCTGCACCTCGCCAATCAACGGCCGCTGCTCTGCCTGTGCTTCGGAGCATTACCTGGTGCCCGGCTCTTCTGACGTTGCTCTGCCATCTCAAGACGCGTGTGCGGCGTGCGACACCTGCCAGGTTGGCACGTTTGAGTCGCAAGCGTGCACGCATGCCACCAACCGAAACTGCACGCAATGCACGCCGCTTGAAAACTGCGCTCAAGTATCGTGCACCGACACCACCGACTCTGTGTGCGTGCAGTGCCCTGTCGGCACGTTCTACAATACGACGAGCGCGACGTGTCACTCGTGTCTTGAGTGCGCCTCCAACGAGTTTGAGGTGGTTGCTTGCACCTATCTGACCGACCGCACGTGCAGCGCTTGCACTAACGTGACGAACTGCGCTTCTGTGACTTGCACTTCTCTGGATGACTCGATTTGCGAGACTTGCAAGTCCACCACGTACATTTCGCCAAACGCAACTGCGGGTGACGCCGAGCAATGCTTGGCCTGCGCGGCTGTACCCGACTGTGCTTATGCGAACGTGGTGTGCACGAACGCGACGAACGCTCGTTGCAGCGTTGCAGCAGCGAGCTCGATCGACAAGGCTGTCATTATTCCTGTGGTGGCTGTTGCTGGTGTGCTCCTGCTTGTCCTCATCCTCGTGCTTGTGCTGGTTGCGCGTCGCCGCCGCCGCAATGCCCGCAAGCCTGAAGCTGCTCTATCATCTCGGCGTGCACGCTCTGAAACTGTGGACCTTCCCATGTCCACGATAGCCATGCTGGCCAATCCTCTTTCCGATCATGGGAACGAAGCGGCCATGTATGCAGAGGCGAACAATCCTCCACTGCACACCAACGCAGCGAGTCCCAGCGGAAATCCGTTTGCGTCGGCCAAAATGGCCGAATTTCTGGCTCAGACCCATCGGCTTGGCAGCGATCAGCAGTCTGGGGAAGGGTTGTACGACTCCATCCGTCCTCCGCCAGTGCCGGAACACCCTTTCTACAGCAACTCGAACAGCAATGCAGCGAGGCACTCGATCGCGTACGAAGCTCCGAGCTCAAGCTCCAGCTCCCCGGTTGCAGAGCTGCCCGCTTACGAGAATCCGCACGTCCAGACTTCCACCTCGGACGTTGTGTACACAAACGTTGAAGTCAACAACGATGCTTAGAGCGCGTCATCCCATCATCCGACAAATGCGCGAGGGTTGGCATGTTCAAGTTCGACCCAACGAGTCTCGCCGAGATGTGGCGTTTGAATCGCTCTATGTTGGATACACTTCAAAAAATAAAATTTCAACCAAAGCAAAGTTCATTGGCGAAACTAACATTGGCGGCCGGAGCAAATCTCACAATCTAGGCACAAACAAAACAATGCTCTGAGAAGTAGAAGGCGAAGGCAACAAGCCAAAGGAACACTTGGGAAGCGCGAAAATCGAGACTAAACGAGGACAAACAAAAACCAGAGTTGCACTTTTAAGCGTAGGTGCCCTCAATGTCATGGTACACAGAACGAGCAGCGGAGATGGAGATCAGCTGTTGGAGGGAGAAAGAGCGAGAAAATGGAAAGTCGATCAGCATGAATGAGCCACGAAACCGTACAAGCACACGCACACACACACACACACAAAAAAAAAAAAAAACACGCCAAAATGCCTGAAACAACGAAGCAACAATTGGATTGGTTACCTGAAGAACAGCAATAATGACAGCAGTGATGCCAATAGCGAGGAGGTTGGTTTCCATAAAGCTCGAGAACTCGGAAGCGCAGCCGCGATCGTAAAGATTGGAAGTGGTCGAGCCGCAAGTTGGGGAGCTCTCATTGTGCTCGCAGCAAGACTGGGGAGGAGTCTGGGGGTTCCAGTCACTGTAGCTGGTGATACCACAGCAAGTAAACTAAGGAATTGTTCAAGAAGAAAAGAGAGAGTCAGTTAGGAGGCACCGGTGAGTGCAACGTCCAGATGTCGAGTCTGGACGAATTGGGAGGGGGGGG